TGTCGAGTGAATAATGCGCATGCGCGGCTTTTCTTGGGAAACATTCTAACTACGCATGCTTATGCAGCAGGTTCTCGGTCAGAAAGCGTAACTGTCGTACATACAAACAAGCAGAATAATAAGTATAGAAGTTTATAATGTATTATTTGAAGTATGAAAAAAAATTCCTTGATTTTGATATTTCTATATAACACTTATAATTGTATTTTTCTTATGTTTACTATATTGAACCGATTTATGTTCTATATTCATCATAATTCTATGTGTTTAGTATCTTTAATACCAGACGTCAGTTATTAATACTATTGTTGCTTAGATACCTATTTTATATCAGTGTCGCACGGTTAAACGAATTTTTATCGCTCAGTACGTTGTTGCCCAACGAAGGCTTTGGTAAGAGGGCCGAAGGCTCGCAAATAGAAGTTTTAACGTAGAGAAAAGTCATCGTATAATTCTACATCGAAAACACCACAAGTAATATGTTTCATATCTTTCATAAGTGGTGTCTATTGAGTAGTTGTTGGCCATTGTTTTGATTATTACCCACTGGTGGTCCACTGTTTTGTGCTTGGATGGTAATAGCTTCTTTGATTCTTCTCCGTTTAGTGTTTTCTTTTTGTCTGTTATTTTTGCATTTTTAGGTCTATTAAATGCTCGTTTTCCTGAACGTGAAAAACTATAGCTGATGTGTTTATAACAAAAGTCTTAATATATATATTTGGTGTTATTTGAACTTTACCTCTAATGGGCGTTGTGTTTCTCCAGTGTATTGTTTATTATACTCACACATAGTGCTATAAACCACGTTCTTTGTGAGATGACTGGGAACTAGGGATTTTACCTTCGTAAGACTGTCATATGGTGTAGGAGGACTTAAGAAAACTACAGTAGTGTTAAGTTTATTTATTACTAGCTGGAGTACCAGTCCCCTGGACGGAAGTTATATAAATTCATGATTAATAAAAGGTTATCTTAGGACATGAAAAGTTGCTTATATGTAATTGTAAAAAATAAAAACACGTAAAAACTCCCATAAAAACTGCAAAACACAAAATGTGAAACCGCAAATTTGCTTCTGTTCCGCATGAACCCAGCAAACATTCATAATTAAATAATAGGTTGAACAATCGCCAAAAACTGTATGATCTGAGAAGAGAGCTAGCTCGAAACGTCATCCTTCTTTAAATAAAAATATATAAAACTTAGCGATTGTTCAATCTATTATTTAATTTTGATATTTTCGTCACCTATGCAGTTTTAACTGTATTTTTCTTTTTATACAACAAACCTTCATGCCAACTTTGGTGAAGATCCATCAACAGGGGATGAAGTAGTGACATAAAAACCGCATAACGCAAAATGCAAAACTAAAAATCTGTGTATACTTCCGCATGGTCTAATGAACCTCCATATCAATTTTGGTGAAGATCCATCCACATGCTTCGAAGTAGTTACATGTAGATACAACAGATAACAGACAGTACAATTATATTTAAATAGATCTTGCGAAGTTTTACTCATAGGACTGGTATATAAGGAAGAAATGCTTTTTTCCTTTCGTTGTGATTGTCAGGTTGTGGTTCATTAGTAGTTGAATCGCTTTATTTGGATAACCGTTATTCCTGATAATCCGATAAAGATGTTTCAGTTCTCCATCTAGGTAAAACGAGAAGCATAAACTTGTAGCTCTAGATTTCAGACTTTTAATAATCCCAATTTGGACAGCTATTGTATGGCATGAACGAAAATTTAAATATATATTTGTTTGAGTCTTCTTGCGATAAACGCTTGTGGTCGACTTTTCTAAACTCGTGTTCTTATGAACAAGAATACTGTGGTATAGAAGATTGTTCATATTCTATGGAAAATTTTTATGCCATCAAATTGGTTGTTCAGGTTTTGAGTTCTTTCTCTCTCTACGGGTGTATAAAATAACGGTATCGTCAAAGGACCCAAAAAACCCATAAATGTTGTTTACATATCACCATCACATCCGTATAGCGTATGAATGCAACTGTCTTCCAGTGCAGGTTTTAACAGTCCGATAACACAAAGATATTTGGCCGACATATCTTGGTATGGAATACCAAGAACACTTGTTTCATTCTCCAACTGTTTGAGGTGTACGGTTAATGAAATGATGTCTCATGGGTGTATAAAATAAACGTATCGTCAACATATCTTATCCATATAGTAGGTTCATGAAAATATGATGTTAAAATGTGTTCAAAATGCTGCATGAATATTTGTGCTATTACAGGTGATAAAGGTGAACCCACTGGAATTTCTTCTAACATATTGTAAAATCGGCTATTCGAGTGGAAGGTCATGATGTTTGGGATGCTGATGGTCGTTCTTGTTGGAAGTGAGATGTCGTCACTTAATTGTTTGTGTATTATTTCCATGTATTTTTAGCAGGTACCTTGGTGAAAAGTGAAACTACGTTGAGTCTAGCCATAATATCGTCTTTGGATACAATTTGGTCAGAAATGTGGTAAGCGAATTCTCGTGAGTTTCTAGTTGAATAAACAGGATATACTGTTAGAGGTTTTAGTACGCTAGAGATAAATTTGAATGTTTTATAAGTTGGTGAACCTATGTAAAATACAAAAATTCGCATGAGTACGTTAGGTTTAATTTTCTTTGGCAAACCATAAAACTGTGGGGAGACTGAATGGTGTACACATAATCTTTTGTACAGTGTCATGCTTATTTTCTTTTTATTTGTCATGTTTCAAATGTCTTTATTATTCTATACGTTGAATTGGATCCGAAGATATTCTTTGGTAAATTGTATCCATTAACACTTCTTCTATCTTTTGCTCCTAGTCACTTCATTTTAAGAGGACTGTAGCATTCCCCTTATCGGCTGGTTATATAACAGTGTCTCTATCTTTTTTTAAACTACGGATAACTTGGTGCTCTTCTTTAGTTAAGTTGCTTCGAAGTTTAATCGTAGATGACTTTAGGCCTTCTCTAACTTGGAAGCACAGTTCATTAGCAATTGTGAGATCTAATGTATTAGCGACTTCTTGAGTGGAAGCAATGACGTCAGTGTAAGTTACTTGTTTCGGGGTAGGAACAAAATTAAGTCCAAGAAATAGAACACTTATTTCATTATCATTAATACGTTTGACACTTAAGTTTACGACTGTATGCTTAATTATCCTCATTATCTCGTTCCTGTAACATTTAGATAACAATAAGAGTTTTTCAAACTTGCTAATTTGTCTGTGTTTGACCTTTTGATATTCTAGATCAGCACTGATTTCAATAATTGTCATGATATCTTTGTAATCTTGAATAGTTGCCATAGACATGATAGTAATACTTACGTTTTGTTGATTGTGAAGAAAAAAGATCTTCCTGTATGAAGATATTATTTCGGAAAAATAGCTTTTTCAGAATGCTGTGAGATAGTGAGGATATGCTTCTTCACAATATGTTAAGAGATTTTGTGTCCATTAGGTACCACGTTGTACGTATGACATCTGATGAGAAAGGTTAAATCGTTTTTGTTCTAGATAGTTTAATGCTCGTATTTTCTAATTACTTGAAATCTACAACACGCCGTCCGTAGCAAGTTTGTTTGTTTTGAATTTCGCGCAAAGCTACACGAGG